CATATTAATTTCTGATCATTCACATTTCTGCTTTGTGATTCCGGTTGACCGAATTGGCCTTCCAATTTCTTCTAATTTTCAGATCATACCAGCAGCAATTGCAGTGTTTTCAAGGGTAATTCGGTCCAGATCTGAAACGGCTTTAATATATATCTTCGATGGATGACCTAGATATGCTGACCCGAGATTACGGGTTTAGACCCGGTGGAAAATCGGCTCCGATGAGATCCGACGGTGGAGATCGTCGTTCCTCTTCCGTACGATCATCGTCATCTTCACCGTTGTATGATGATTCTGATGGTTTATTGTACAAAGACGTGTTCGGTGGACCTCCAAAATACACCAAGTCTAGTAATAACAACAGTAAATCTTCGTCGATGAATGATATCAATTACGATTCAATTTTCAATACTGGCAATGATTCGAATAGCTATATCAACAACAATAAGACATCGTCCGTTCCGGTGTATGACAAGCCAGTGTACGACGAGGATATTTTTGATGGATTGCCAGGACTGAAGAACAAATCGGAATCTGAAAAATCTGCATCCACTGTGAGATTTGACGACAACGTTTTTGCTACAATGACTTCGCCACCACAACCAAAGATGAAGGACGAACATTTTGGTGATCTGCTTGGGAATTTGAAGTCGAATGAGAAGGTAACAGAGCCTAGGAGTAGTACGAGCTCGAGTGCCAAAGAGTTTGATGATTTGTTAGCTGGTTTTGGGAGTAGCACTTCCACCACTAATAAGAGGTACTTTGTCATATTTCTCAAAGCTCCACTTGTTTCTCTGATCACTGTGGTTTAAATAATTTAAGCTATTTCTTAGTGAAATTAAAGTAATGACTAGAATTGCTACAAAATTAAAGGCATAGTTGTTCTAAAGTTGTTTATATAGCTGATCCCAACAAGTTTGTGATGAGGAGGTTATGGACTACCAAAGAGCAGAGAACATTTTTGCTTTTTTTAGGATCATACATAGTACATACATTATTGTGATAAGGGGGGTGGGGTGGGGTGGGGTTGGGGGAACATGAATCTGGATACTGTAGAAGGCCATCTGCTCATTGTTCACATACATACTACTGTCTATGCTATTTGAATACAGCCTGAAAGGGCTAACATGTAACGAATGTTCCCCTCTTGCATGTCGAATATGATAGAACGTATCACAAAATTCTTGTATCTTTTAGCTTTTTGAAATCTGTATTTCTTATTATTATATACGGAATTACTTGATATATTATGTCTATATGCTCCCGATAAGCTTTAGAGGTTTTAATTAGGTGAAGAACATTGTATTAACTCTATGAGATGGCACACAGAAAATGTAAACTGTGGTACTTTATCCATACTTGCAAAATAATGGTGGTGCTTATCCAAACACTAAAAATACAAAATATGTAACTATTGTAGTGGAATACATATAGTTCTGGTTAGAATTCTGAAAGTTTTGGTAATTGTTGGTGCTTAGTAGTTTGTGTGTTTTATTATTAAAACAAAGCCAGTTCATTTCTCCATTAGCCCTTTCGATTTTCATGAATTTCCTTTTAGACTGACTAGAAAACAATAGACAGACTTTTTTGAGCAAATAATTATAGAAAGAAGAAGACAAGACAGAACAGGGTGTCTCAGTGAACGACATTGATTAGACTGTATTTGACATGTTGGTGCATTTTTCCTTGGCTTATCAGTTGTGATTAGTGTTGTTAATTAGAATAAATTGTTGTACTCATTTGTACGACCAAATTGTTGTCTTATCTTTGTTATCCTGCAATTGGATTGTCTAATGAGGGACAGGTGGTTTTTCACAGGTCATTCACAGAGTCTAGTCATTACTCCAAACCCACTGGAAATTCAAATCAAAGTTCTATTGGTTTGGATGACCCTTTTGCAGGTTTAGGGTCAACCTCAATGCCGGCTTCGTCTAATCCGGGGGAGTTCATGGATCCACTTGAACAGATTGGTCAGCTAGGTAAATCTGGAAATACACACTCTGAAGCTTCATCGGTTAGTGGAGGAGTTCTTGATGATTTAGATCCACTGAATGGTTTTAGTAAGTCTGTCCCTCCATTATACTCTGCTAGGAATAACAGAGGGACGGGAGGGAGTCCTCAGAGGGCAGGATCAGGAACGAGTGACACACAAGCCTCTTCTTCTAGAGAAAATATCGGAAAATCTTCTGATAGCCGCTCACAGAAAAAGGTGCCTGAGGATGGTTTTCAGGACTCTCCTCTGTTTGACATGCCTTCAGGTGATCCTCAGAGATCTTTTGGTCCAGCTGGCTCCCCCCCTTCATATGCAAGTAGCAATATTCATGAAACACACTTTGAATCAGATACGTCCCCAAGATCAGAGGACCAAATGCAGCCTTCTGATGATGTATGGCTTAGTGTATCAGAGATTCCTCTTTTTACACAACCTACAAGAGCTCCACCTCCATCACGACCTCCTCCTCCAATTCCACGGCGAAATTTTAAGTCAGAGGCTAGTTCCTTTGCTTCAAATGCAAGAAAGAAGGGTGACAGATATTCTTCTTCTCCAAGTTACAACCAATACTCTCAAAGTCCTAAGGTTGTTCGTCCTGCAGCCAAGAGCCCTCCAACTTCTCAGTTGGATGAACTTGATGAATTTGCCATGGGTAAATCTCCCCACAGTGTGGATGAAAGTGCAGGAGTTCTTTCTGGTGAAGATATGAATGCAAACTCAGTAGCTGCTGCATCAGCAGCAGCGATGAAGGAGGCTATGGATAGAGCTCAAGCCAAATTTAGACATGCTAAGGAAGTTCGAGAAAGAGAATCTGCAAAGGCAGCTAAGAGTAAGGAGGCTGTAAACCTGGACAGGGATGAACAAGCCATGCATGAGACACAAGAAAAAGAATTGAGAGAAAACAAGGAGAGATTAGAACGTGAACGTCAACAGAGGGAAAAAGAAGAGGAAGAGAGAGCACAATGGAAACTTGAGAGGGAGAGGGAGAGAGCCAGAGAGGTAGAGAGAGATAGGGGTAGGCAAGCTGTAGAAAGGGCTACTAGGGAAGCACGAGAAAGAGCAGCAGCAGACGCTAGAGAAAGAGCAGCTGCTGCTGCTCGTTTAAAAACCGAAAGAGCTGCTGTGGAGAGGGCTGGTGCTGAAGCTCGAGAACGGGCTGAAAGGGCTGCAGTTCAGCGAGCACAAGCAGAAGCCCGTGAAAGAGCTTCTGCAGAAGCTAAAGAAAGAGCAGAAAAGGTAGCTGCAGAAGCAAGGGAAAAAGAAGCACGCGAAAAAGCTTCAGCTGCAAAGGCTGAGGCTGAGGTAAGACGTCGAGCAGAACGAGCTGCAGTAGAAAGAGCTGCTGCAGAGGCTCGAGAAAGGGCAGCTGCTGCTGCAAGGATGAACCAACAAAAGAATGATGATGATCTTGAATCCTTTTTCAATATGGGTTCTAGAGCCAATAGTGCACCAAAGACAAGAACAAGTTCTGTAAATGTAAACAAAGCAACCTAAGATATCAATTTAAGCCTCTCTATGCTGTATCTTTTATTCTGCATTTTGGTAACTCTTTCTTTTCTTCACCTGCCATTCCTAGGAGACTTCATTTGCTTCACAGTTCCAGAACAAGGCAGGTGCTGGAGGGTCAAAGCCAACATTTTCATCTACCACAACCTCCTCCAACAGGACAAAGGCATCTTCAACAACAAGTTTTGCTGATGATCTCTCTTCAATATTTGGAGGTACTTACTTTTTTGCGGCTTCACTAGCAATATTCAGGGGGTTAGTCTGTACTACTAGTAAAGCTTCCCAGGCTAGATTAACTACCATGGCGGCTTTTCACTTTCTCCAACTTTACCTTCAATTGAATTAAGGTCACGCAATTACAACTTAATTCAACACATCAGTTAGTAACAGTTTTTCTTAAATTATTCCCTCAATTGTACAGAAGATGCTTTTATTTGAACTGTCTTAATTTCTTACCATTTGTTTTTATATTGTATTTATACTTCAAGAAGTCACCGAGGCAATAATATGCTTACAGACAAACTAATGGCATACAAAGTGTGTCATGTTGTTGGTTTTAAGTCTGTCTCATCAATTTCCTGAATACTGAATTATGTTACTTAACCAGCTGCCACTTCATCTGGAGATTTCCAAGAGGTTGAAGGGGAAACCGAAGAAAGAAGAAGAGCTAGATTGGAACGCCATCAACGAACTCAGGAGCGTGCGGTATGCCCCCTGGCACTTGTGTCTTTCCTCTCATGTTTGGATTGTCGGGGCAAATCTCTGTTTACAGCCTTTTAGCATGTATTACATAGTTTAGAAAGATATATGATTTATGATATTTATTTGCTCAGGCCAAAGCTTTGGCTGAAAAGAATCAACGTGACCTTCAAGTTCAGATGGAGCAGCAGGAAAGACACGTAAGTACTGTTTTATGAAACAGCTTGCAAAAGTACTTATGCATTATTGTGTGCTTGTTGCAATTAGTGGAATACTCAAAAAACAATGCCTAAAATTTTCTTTGTATTCCACTTTTACATTCCTATATCGAATTACAGAGTTATAAAACAATCATGTTGTTGCGGTGCTTGTTTAGATGATCATTTTTAAAGCGTATTTTCGAACTTTGATTGGAAAGATTTTCTTTCTTCAAATCTTACCTAAACTTTGGGATCTTGTTTAAAGATGCAGATTTGAACTAGCTATGTCAGATATCAGTAGGATCACTTTCTTCTTTTTGGTGCTGGATGAATCATGTTAAGTTTAAACTAAGATAATGACTCCTTAAGGCCTTGCCTTGTGCTTCATGATGCTATCCTAAAATTTGTGGCGTCTTTCATCCTTTTTCTTTTTGCTCTGTCTTCTATGCTATGTCCTTGCTATGATTTTTACTATTTTATCAATGTAATATAGTTGCTTGCTTTTTGTTACAGAGAATATCTGAGACCCTAGATATTGAAATCAAGCGATGGGCTGCTGGGAAAGAAGGAAATCTTCGTGCATTGCTATCAACTATGCAATATGTATGTTCCGTTTTATGTTCGCTTATATGAGGAGATTAGTTGTACCCCAGAACTGTTAGATTCCACTTAACACACACCTGGTTATTAACACGAGAGAGGAGAAAATTTGAAAGGAGTTTTTTTCTTTGAGCAGAAATTGCCAAACAAATGACACGTACATCCTATCCATTTTGCTATCTCTGTATTTACTTGGTTGCTAATCATACTCATTTTTTTTCCTTTTGTGGGGTTGGGATGTGGGTGTGCGTTGGGGGATTGTTTCCCTTCTACCTGTTCACACCTTGAACAGAACTGGTGTTAAAAGTAAAAAAAATACCAAGTACACACACATACACAAGAAGCCATCATATCAGATAACAGATTTTTCTTCCAACCATAGAAATTTATGCACCAAAAGATACACATGAATTGAAGATCTATGGAGACCAACATAACTTGGATCTTAGAACAATCGTTACTTTTTTGATAGACATTCACAAATAAATTATTTATGAATGGGAAAACCTATAATTTCTGAAACATTTGATTGTCTGTGCTTCTAATAGTATGGTCTTGATAAAAATATCAAATTGACTTGTTTCATAGGTGCTTTGGCCTGAATGCGGTTGGCAGCCTGTTTCTTTGACGGATTTAATTACTGGTGCTTCTGTAAAAAAGGTGTATAGAAAAGCAACATTGTGTATCCATCCCGATAAAGTGCAGCAGAAAGGTGCCACCCTTCAACAGAAATATGTTGCTGAGAAGGTGTTTGACATGCTCAAGGTACTTTTATCGCTGGTCAACATGACAGTGCATTACAAATTTGGTTCTTCACATTTCTTGTTCATCTGAGGTTTTATTCCTTTATCACGATACATTAATAATCAATTAGTCTGTGGTTATGGGCTGGGTAGACCCATCAAGCCCCAAATACCCAACAATCCCACTTTTTTCCCTGGTATGTTGCTTTTCAAGCCATGGGTCAAGGGTTCTGAACTTTATGAAGCCTCTTAAAAACAGATGTCGGGTTCTTATGCACAGCCTAATGACAAGTTTCATTTCTTGGTGTCTTTCCTTTTTACCTTATCAGAATTATCATTGAAAGATCCTTTAGTTGTCACTGCTTATTTCACTTTTTATACTCAATGTTGTGCTCTTTATTAAGTTCTATATCTTGCAATAGGAAGCATGGAACAAATTCAATTCAGAGGAGCTTTTCTAGATGCTGTGCCCATTCATTAGCTTTGAGCTCCTTCAGACTTTTTGATAGAAGAGGTAGGAACAGTTGTTTCAAAGCAGTGCTCTTGGTGACTCTGTTATAATCTTCTTTCATCATGTGGCATGCTGGACCGGTGAAATGGGCCTTTGTAGCAGTGATGGTTAAGTGCAATATATTACTCTGTTGCTGTAAATTAATGTCAGTGCCAAAGACATTTAATTGTGAATGGTTCTTGAATTGACTGGTTTCTGGGAAAAATGTCGGGCATTTTTCATTATGTGCAGCACGAAAGGAGCATTGTATGATTGAGTTGTGAAGTTATACAAAATGTATTTTCCCTATTCATTTATCTCTAGAGTCTTTTGTTTTCTGCATGAGAAGAACATATCTCTCTTGCATCATTTTTTGAACTGATGTTGTATTGAGTAAATCAGAATGATATTTTTGCACGATGTGAAAAGGTGAATTTTAGTTAGTAGTACCATGTGATGCTGGTGTTTTATCTCTGCAGTTGAGTTTGTCACTGATTTTGGACTCTCGTTTGCTTTATACTTAATGCCACATGCTGCTTATGGGAAGTAAAATTCCTTTTCCATGAAATTTTGTTCAATGTTTTAGCCAAAATTAGGTAAAAGTTTGAAAATTATTCCTACAATAATTGACGAACATCAAATTTCTGCTTTACATCTTGCATTAATTTTTCTTCTCAAACAAGGATCAAACATGAATAAGTTTATTATGATTCGAATAAAAACGAATTCAAATAAATTTTTTCGATGATTTACGTCTGCCTATTAGGAGAACACAAGTTAAAAGCTTCAATTCATTTGATTAAGGTCCTGCAAAGAGAAATAATAAAACTTGACGGGTTCTCCTTGAAAATTCTTGAAAAGTTGGGGGATGAAAGTTGAAATTGAAGAGTATGTTCACTCTACCTGAAGCGCGTGACTTCCATTCTTAAAAACCAAAGCAAAATATCACAATCATTCAATCAAAACCCTCAGCATGGACTCATCACACGTTCTCTGATGCGTAGCTGAGAAATATCGCCGGAAGTTCACAGGAAATAAGTGGCGGCGGTGCGTGGCTCTTGTTGAATACCAAGCGGAGATAAGATGCCGGAACATCCGTCTGCAGACTCATCAGCCACCGACAACACCGTAACCGTCAAGCGTTATGCGCCTCCCAATCAGCGGTATCAGAATAATCTTATCATACGAATCGCTCTTTCTAAATCTGGACATATTTCATTGAATTGCTGAGTTTGGATGTGTTTTATTGAATTGATTTAATGTGATATTGTCCTTTGTATCAGGAATCGTTCACTCGGCAGGCGAAAATCTGGAGGAGGTAACTAGTTTTGATAAAGCTAGACTATGTTAATTAATTGAGATTATGTTAAGCTTAATACCTTAGATTTGCAAGGAATGTACTGTTATCACCAAGGCTAATCTCACTTAAATGATAAACACAAGTAAGCTAATAAAATCTGATTGTGTAATTAAATGGTGATCCGTGATCATACATACTAAAATCTGATTGTGTAAGTATCATACATCAGATCTTGCCTGTGTCGATTGCTCCAAATTTGAAAGTGGGAAGTCTGGAAGCTGCGATGAAAGTTGAATTTCCGTGAGATGAGCTAACTCTAGTTGGGAATGAGAGTTGTAAGATTGTTTCCGTACTAGCTGCCAATCAGTGGAAGCTATCCTTTTGATCTTTTAAGCTAGTGTTATAAAGTTGATCACTTCAATGTAACTCCAAATATGTGGCTCTTATTATTATTGTAGCATCAACAAAGTATGCATCTCAGTACAACTGTTAATTTTTAGAAAATGAAGCAGTTTTCTTTTTTCGGTTTTGCTACGGACGCCTTCTATTGGATTTTATAAGTTTTTCTCTAGGGACACTCTGGTATCACGTGTCTTTAGCTGTGATCAACTAGTAGAATTGACCCTTCTTTAAGGTTATACATGGTAGATAACTACAAACTAAGCCAATGTCCAACCCCTGAGAAAACACAGGGGAGGGTAAATACTTCCTAGAATCTGAGTTGACCTATTGACATAGAATAAAATCTTTGAAGTGTGTGATACTCTCAACTGGTCGACTAGTTTTATGTGAGGTATGTTTCGAAGAAATAGATAACTTGTGTTCTTTGCCTACGGATTTTTGGCTGGATTTAGTCTTCTATACTAGGAATCTAGATCGACCTTTCTCTAATGGTTTAGTTTACAGATCGACTTGAAAGAGCTAGCAGCTATGCTAGTGATGGAGAGAAGAACCAAATGAGTGCAGCTAAGTCTGTATCTGATGCTGGTGTCAATCGAGTGAATGAGTATCCTCCAACAAAGTTAATACCGCTACAAGGATGTTGTACAAGCGAAGCTTTTCAGCTACTGAATGACCGTATGTTTTTTTAATCAAATCATGAGCTCCTAATATTATCAATTCCGTTATCTATTTAATCACTTCTATCTCAATTACATTGTCATACCTTCCATATCCTTTACAGTTCTCCCATATTATGATAATAATTAGGTTACCTGCTTCCAGTCTTTTGCATTAACATTGTATGATGCCTCTAGTTACTATGATCAAAATGTCACAAGTGAGAATGATGATGAAGCTTCATCTTTTTTTTTTCTATAGGCTGGGCGGCTGCTCTGAATGCTCACAATAATTTATCAGAAGATTCTCGTGGTAAGTTAAAGGGTGCCTCTCTACTAATCAATTGCTCTGATTTCTTACTTGAATTGCTATGTAGAGAAGTTGTTTGGGATACTTTTTTGCCACGTTTCACATTTCAATTTGTGTTGGAAATGTATATTTTGTGAACATATATATTCACTGCATCATTCATCTATTCTGGTGCTTCTTTTGAAGGTAACATCATATATTCTTTTGGATGGTATGTTGAACAGTTCTAAGCCTGGAATGTGTCTGAGTTTTTGTTTTGTATCATATCATCCACCTCCTGGTTATCCTGAGACCTAAATGCTCACACTTCTAATAAAAGTAATAAAATTGACCCTCATTCATCCCAAAAAGAAAAAATGTTAAAAACTTCTAAGTATGCTTCGAGTATCCTTTCTGGGATTGAGTTCTTATGTGTACTAGCTTCATTCTGACTGGGTAGTAATGCCAAGTTTGAATGGCTTGCCTGGATTTTAGCCTTTATCATCGTTATATGGTAATACCAATTGTCGACGTCCTTGAGTCTAAAATAGGCTTAGAGCAACAAAATGGAATTGTAGGAAACCTACTGATATCATTCTACCACTTTGATTTGGGTTATTTCTTTGTATCATTGAGTAAGTCAGCACATTCTTCTGCGAATCTGGCTTTGATTGTATGGATGAAAACTGCATTGTAGTTCTCGGTGTTAAAAAGGAGTGCAGAAAGTATTGAATTTGTTATCATCTGTTTAATGCGTTCATTGTCTTTAGCTTAGTCGTATATTACTAACTAAGCTTTGATGACTGTGCGGCGTAGGTCAGAAAGAATTCCTAGGAGACATTGAGCATAAATAAATCTCACTTCTATTTGTAATGGACTATGTTTTCAAATAAAATAACAAAAGACACATCTACATGTTTTTTTAAATTTTTTTAATCATATATAATATTGGATTGTCCTACAAAGGTAGGGGTAAGGTCTTTGTATATCCTACCCTCCCCAGACCCCACTTGTGGGATCACACTGGGTATGTTGTTGTATGTGTAATATTGGATTAAGATGAGCTTAAATAGAGCAAAAATGAACAGTAAGGGTTCATATAGTTGCAACTTGCTTGTGATTGAAGTATTATTGTTGTACTCTTCTGATCCCAACTAATTTGGCTGTCGTTCTATTTGCCCAGAAAGGCCTGTAATGTACACAAAAAGATCACCTTGGGGGCATCCTATGCTTCCACATCAAGTAAGAGGCGGTCTGCTTATTCTCTCCCCCCTTCCCTTCCCAGAGTCAACTTTCGATAAATACTGAACATTTATCTTTTGTTTCCAGTTGATGTCACAAGCAGGAGCTGAATCTTCTACTGGCCAGAAGGATTTTCTAAGCAAACTTCAGATGGCTATGCTCAATACACATGTCAATTTCGATGCCTAAATGCTACCCATCAAGTGGTCAAAAACTAAGTTAGGAGTTTCAGAATTATTTGCAATGCAATGTTAGATACCTGTTATCAGCCATCATCAATCCTGAATAACACTACGTATTTAACCTGTTGGAAAAAACTCTACTTGTGCATCATTTAAAAATTGTAATTCTGTACCTTTCCACAATTTTTCTGTTTTTATGTTATTTACACTTTCTAAAAAAAAGTTATGGTGGTGTTGGGGCTAGCTTGTGTGAACTTTTGACTATTTCACCAGCTATGTATCATCTCCCATTAGCACTAGAACAAGCATCCAATAACTTTGCCCATCAAGTTTAGGCAGACAGCAAGTAATTGTCTACTGTTTTTTTTTTAGTCTATGATAGAATTTTGAGCTCTGGTCTTCTATGATTTTTGCTCACTTCATTGAAGTTAGGTCACGCTCATAGGCGTATGCTGCACTAATAACATAGAGAGGGAAGAACCCTCTCCAACTGCGAAAACAGCATTTAGAAATACAATCCAAAGTTGGCAAATTGTGGACAAATGGTACATTTTACTGATATCAAGTGAAACTTAATATATCCAGTTAATTTTACATTAAACTGTCAAGGGAATACATATACAAATCCCCCTTCACCTCAGCAATAGCCTAAGATATATATATATATATATATATATATTATAACTATGCCTCAATCCCAAACAAGTAGAGGTCGACGTTTTGAATTCCACCAACCATGATTCTCCATTTCATTTCATCTTGCACAGTAAAAATCTATAGCTTTTTGGCACTCTTTATCATATACATATATATTCAGTAACTGGTATATTTGATCATACCTAGCTTTTACAAAATATTGTCCAAATGACATGGATCAAAGTGTTAGCTAAACCCCATTTTGAGGGAGATCTTTGTGGTCATTTATAGACATTGGTGATCCAAGAACTGAACCTTCATTTGAACGGGTAGAACTATCTCTACCATACTTATGTCCCTTTTTCTTTTTCACCTTCTCAGCCCATTCCATAAGACAAGCTTGAACATGATTATCGAACATCGATTTCTTATAATGACTCCCCATCTATAATTTCATGTAAAAACAATATTAGGAGAAGGACATTCAGGTTTAAGTTTCATCGATTGGTTCGAGTAAAAACTCACCTGTGTAACTAGAGCATAAAGTGGCAGTGTGCTATAGCTGCATAAAACTTGAATGATTACCCTGGAAAAGATGAAAACCACCTTCATATATGAACGTTAAGGGTCAAGAAATGCAATAAGGGGGTTGGTTCATTTGAATTCCTTTCGTTGAAAAATCACACTGTATATATAAGGATACAAATAGAGGAAGGAGTAGTGAACTCTACCCTATGACAAGCCGAGGAATCACAAAGACATATTTTCCCATAATGCAGGAGTGAAAGCCATATTGGAACTATAAAAAGATAGAAAAAAACATGAAATTAGGAAAGGAGCATTGAAAAATTGTATTGAACACTGAATTGGAATGGTGTTACTTGATTAGTAACTTACCAAAATCCAGAAGAAAAATGCTATTTCAAAAGCATTTTGGAAGAGAATAAAATGTATCAAGAAGAGGATGATTTGAGGGTTATCGAACCAAAAGTGATTATCAGATGGTGTTACAACCAATTCACCTTCTATGGCTACATGTTTCTCAGCAATTTCATGAGCCAACTGTAGAATCACATGCTCCAACTTTGTTCCCACAGCAAGCAGAAGCTGAAATAAACACACGAAAATGAAGAACGAAAAAAAAGCCTAAATTGACAGCTATCACTACAAGTGATCGTTTCCAGAATGTTAGTTTACAGATTTGGAGACTGAAACAATGGAAACTACATAAGTGAAATTTATGATAGGGTTACTCACAATAAAAGGAAAGAAAGCAATCCAGAAATATGTATGCCAACCTGCACAAGCATAATGATGTATCAGCCTTCCCATCACAATAAACGAAAGCACGAAGCACAATAGCATTTTAGTAGGATGTTGATTTAAGTAGAAATCGTAGCAGTGTGGCAAGGTGAACAAGTCTAGCTATTTCAAGTTTGAGCTGGGATATACCGTTAATATTAAGCAACAAGAAGAGGATTACGAATATCCAGAGATACCAACTGCAAAACAAACAAAAGCAAAAGAGCGACAAGTTAATTTGAAGAACCAGCAGGGAGAAACAACATTCTCAGAAAATGTTTAAGAGCTTTAGCATCATCATATCACTTGCCTGATACCAACAACTGTCCTAAAATCGTCTTCCAGTGCACGTATCATGTACCTGTGAAAATTGAATCTTGGATTTCCCCTGCAATGTGTCTACACAAGGAATATGCTTTTACTAATATTATGTATAAGCCAAGTAAAAATCACTACATTGTGAAACAAGAAGCCAGTCTCTATCTAACAACTATGGCAAATGAACATAGTTACCATAATGAATCCCAAACGAAGCGCTCTGTAGTCTGATTCGTTGACAGAAGCATAAAATTGCTTGAAGAAAGAATGCTGCAAATTTTCACCAAAACACAGTAAGTTAGTTAATTAATACTAATACGAATCGGAGAAGAAATGATCATATGAGTCTATCGCGAGTCATTTGAGAACATATGTCAAAACAATCACACAATAGAAGCTTTTTTTTGGCACATGTGGAAATACAAAGATGCCATATTTTTCGCGGAGAATGGGGAGGGGAAGTGCTTACCACCCAACCCAAAATGGCTGATTGTCTACCCATACCCTGAAATCGATTCCTGATGAAATCATGTTCATAGACATGAGTAACTGTTGGTTTCAGATGAGCTGCAAAATGGAACATCAATATTACTAGTAGCTTTACATTTCAACCATTTACTTAATTCCTTTCCTCTTTAGTCATACCATGTTCGGATTCATAATCATCTTTTACGATTGCATCCTCCCATTGCTTCCATTGACGTATCTAGGCCATTATTAAAAAGTTCACAAATAATCAATCAGCCCGAAGGACAAAGTAAAAGAAACTTAAGCAGAAAAGCTTAGTAACTGACCTTTGCTCCTCCAAATACAATAGTCAGAACAGAGAATGTCACATGCACAATAGCTAGGACAAATATAAAAACATGAAGATGATGCAACGCCTCAAGAGATAGTAACGGAACCTTATTCTGAAAAAACAACGAAAAGTATTATATAAGAATTAAACACAAGAATAGCACATAAACACCAATGTTTGAAGTTATATTGTCTAATATAAAAGGAAAAAATTCACTTTTAACACAAATACAGGGGGTGAGCCAAAGTTACTGGATTCTGCCAAACTCGTAACTTGCAAACTAACAAGAAACAGATATAACAGAACATCGCCAAAGCAAAGTATATAGCTGGAAGTTAAGAGCAATGACTTAAGTACTTTATGATGGCAGTAACCCTCAGCAGTCATTGTTTCTTCGGCAAGCAAATGTCGTTGATGGTGAGGACCAGCATGATAGTGAACCGTCTGATTGTTAACATGAGGCTCTTCATGAGTCGGAGGTGGAGATGGAGTTGGAGATGAAAATGAAGTATGCTCCAACGGTAACGCGCAGGGAAGTAAGTGTGTTACAACACGAGGAGGCACACAAATTTCGACAATGCGACTTTGAAATACCGTTAACAGCAGGGAAATAAACCCCAACAGCATCAACTCTGCACATAATACACATTCACAAAATAGTTCATATATAAATGTAACCTTAATTGATCAATGTTGTATATTTTCTAACCTTCTTTAACTTTCTGTAGGGCTTCATAGAGATGCTTTTGTTTCTTCCTCTTCAGACGCTGCACCAGTAGCAAAGCCAGAGATTTCGTTAAGAGTGTTCAAGGTTCAATACATATGTATGAAAATAATTTTGACCTATATACCTAATTAGTAAAGTATAATTTTCTGATAGATATATGTTTAACTGACCACCTTTCACTCTATGTTGCTAAGCTATGTATTAGTTGCATATATCACAAAAAAATGGAACTTGAGCAAACCAACGACCAATAATAACAATCACATTTCAAAGCCTAAACAAGTTCGGATCCGCTATATTAATATATTCCTTATACCATTCCACTTGTAAACCGTTTCATAACATGGAGAAATAGAAAATGAAAAATAAAAAGATGGAATCTTAGCCAAATGTTGAAATTCAAATTAACTGCAAAGAAAAGAGAGAAAACAAAGACATTATGTTTCATAAAGATCCTGTTTTTATTATTGTTATCGTTATATATATATATATATATATATGTTGATTTCTTAACAATAGAGAGATTCAAACATGACAATAAAATGCAATAAACTCTTTTAAGAAAAAAACACCTGTGCACTAAGCTTCAGCTATGCACATGGTCCAAGAAAGGACTAGACCACAAGTACAAACCTTACCCAGCATTTTTGCAAAAATCTTTTATATAACCATATTGCACATTCATATGACAAATAATTATAATAACCGAAAAATTGTTAATTTTTTTTAGAATAGAATAAAAATATACCTTCCCAGCATAATGGATGAGACGTTCAACAGCTAGAGAAATTGAAACAATGACGGTGCATACAGCAGCAACCACCCATGTTGGTGTAAATTCCAATGAACCTTCATCCTCTCCACCTCCATCCATATATTATTTTTTCTCCGGTTTAAGTTCTGGTAAATTATTTCATGAAAGACAAATATGATAATTAATTATATATTAATGAAATGAAACAGAGAAAAACGAATCACACCCACAATAAATTGGGGGAGTGATTATGAAATGATTGATTATCAAGAAAAGAAATGAAGATTTTGGAAGAAAATTGCCAAAAAAGAAGAAGATATGGTTATATTTTCCCACAACGTGGTTTGCATGAATGATGTTTGATGTGTTTTTATTAATTTCGTTGTCATGAAATGATATTAATATGTGTCTCTCGTTTTATGAGGTTTATAAAGGTAGGTATTAATTTTATTTTAAAAAATTGCGATTGAAATATTATCACAGCTATTACATTTATAATATTTAAGTTACATTTATACTATTCTTTTTAGACTGTTCCAAAATAAATCGCACACTTTAAATTGAGTTAACAAGTTGCTGGCCCAAAAAGATTTTTTGAATAACGTGTTCTGAAAAAAAAACAAAAAAACAAGAATAGTTTTCTCTTGCATCAAACACACCCTGTATGTCTGACCCGTTTTGTGTCAAGCTTGTGACGTTTATAAACGCAGACATTAATTTAATTTAAGTGGAAAATATTTTGACCAAAATATCACAAGTAATATATTTATAATACTTAAACAAGTGGGGTTATTGAGTTAGTAACCTGCTGACCCAAAAATATTTTAGCTTGGATACCTTAAAGGTGGGATCATTTGCATTTTTGCAACTATTTTATGTTGGTCTACATAAGTTCGATTGTTATAAGTATAGTGTTCTTCATGTAATGGGAAAATTTGATAATCTGGAGAAGGAGGGCAAAGAGAGGGAAGAGGTAGAATATATGATTCTTTTTTTTGTTATGATGATACAATAATATTAAGTATTATTGAAGTGGAAAAATTTCCCTTATAAAAAGTATCCAAATATAAAGAACCAACAAAATAATATGGTTCTCTACAAATTGGATCTATACATGATGTATGTTGTCGTTAATCTTTCAGATTTTTGTTTCTCAATGGTGCACCAAAAGATAACAACAGATAGATGCATTCATCAATAATGGTCCATCCTGAATCAGTTTAATAGGCAGCTCACATGTGCCTTTTGATTATCATGAAATTATTCAAAAAGGTGATTCGACTTTCAAAATTTTGAGAAAATTATAACTTTTACAATGAAACCCGCAAGAGTGGTCCTTTGTTGAGCAAATGATATCCCAAATGAGGGTCATAGGTTCAAAATCTCCTGCACGCTTTCTTAGTAGAACTCATAGTATAGATCTTGCCTAGTACAATTTTACAAGAGTGAGACGGAATTATCAGGATTGTGATTGCGAGTTCCCTTGTCAACAACAAAAAAAAAACATCTATTTCAATGACATTACTATTGGATCAGCTCCCTCCTACATAACATGGTTTGATCCATCCTTAGATGAAAGGGACAGGGTAACAAAATATTGCTTAATCTAAGGCATAACCAACAATTAAAATGAAACTCATGGTGATCTGTTAAGGAAAAAGAAACAAGAAGATAAAATAACAAAGTGCACTCACATAGCCATCCCACTGTAGGGGTCGACCCCGTCGCCTGCTGAAGTGTCAACAGGAAAATTTCGAGAGAATTTCAAAGACACATTTAGAGAGAGTGGCTCTCTCTTAACTCCAATGATTGCCATTCCCAATTCTTCATTAGTTACACGACAGATGGCGACAAACGTTTCATTATCCAGGTAAAACAAAAGTGGAATATAAACTAAGTATTTAGGATCCAAAAAAAGTTGCCAAGTTAATTCTCCTTCAAGACTATTCGATTGAAACCATCTCATCTGAACATAATCATACCCATATAAGCACAGGTCATTGTTGAGCCAATACAAAGTTGAGTCACACACAACCGCCTTGATATTATTGGCAATATAGGATAGAGTTTCACCACCGGCACATTGTTCGAACAGATCCGATCCTGCCAATTTCATGTTAGGATGATGTAATTCCTCCTCGTGAATCCACTTCTCCTCATGGAGATCATAAAGGAGCAAAAGACCAGTGAATACTATATAAAAGACTATGGTTGTTTTATCCATAACAGCATGGATTCCAAAAGCAGAAAGGCTTTCATCAATATTACTACTATGTTGTGTGAGTTTGGGCAGGTAAGTCCATGTTTGGGAGTCAAGATTGTAATATTCACCCAAATATGTCCAATCAGGGCTCTCACATTTGCAGTCCGGTATAAGCTTATTGCCGCTGATGACATAGATCTTCCTACCGAAGGCAAACACAAATGGATTATACCAGCGAAGATTCCTGTGAGGTAATATGAGTTCCCAGGTAGAATTAGAATTTGTGGTTGGAGTAAATTTATTCAAGTTCATACCGACGGTGAATGGGCTGTATTCTCCCTTCATTCCTCCGATGCAGTAGATGCATTCATCAATAACGGTCCACCCTACCGACTTTTCAGCGGTGAAATTGGCAATCGAAGAAAGTCTTTCCGGCAAGCAATTTAAATCAATCCTATAGTATTCACCGAATCCATTGCAGAAATAAATCACTCCTCGATAACCGGCGCCGATTTCCATTGAAACTGAATTAGGCGAAGAGATACGATACTTGTCTAGGGTTTTTATGCTATTTTTTTTCCCGGTAAATCACACCAACCACTAGTTATCTTTGAATATATTGTATTTGCCTCCAAATACATTATACATAGCGAATATATCTCGTCCGTCTTTCTTTATTTATGTTTTCACAATAAAAATTTCATATGCATGTATATATCCAAAATCAATTTCATCTAAAAAATCCGATATCAATTTCGTTTGTATATCTGAAATCAAATATTTAATGTATTTTCGTATCATAATATTCTACAAATTATCAAAAGGTTGTAACCGTAAGTTCCCTTGTCAACAAATATATATATTTGAATGGCATTACTATTGGATCAACTCTCTTCTATGTAACATGATTGGATCCATTCTTAGATGAAACACAATGATAACAAAAATTGTTAAATAGAATGTATAACCATTGAAATACACTAGTTTCTCCAAACAAAAAAAATGATAATCGAGCAAATTCTCTTCTTTCAAGCATAGACCCTTCATACTTAAATGAATCTTCTTTCCAAGTTTCATGTTATTATTTCCTAAGTTTTTTGTATTTATTGTAGTTTCTAAGTTACATTATGACATTATGACTGATCATATTTCTGAGCATCAGTATAGCTTGTTTTGTGAAAAAATATGTTTCGGTCATATATCCAGCAACTTCGATGCAATATTTTTACGGTCAAAATACGCTACACTTCTTTGAAACTATGGCCAACAGAAGAAAGATGTCAGAGCCATTAGTGAGAGGGAGGCACCTCCAAGGCATAACATGTCTCGCATAGTTCGCGAGGATAGTGAAACAATTGAAATACAATAGTTGTTTATTTTTAGGCTCGCTAATCTTATTTAGTTCTAAATTATTTTGTCTACTATACATTTATCTTTTTGTAGTAGTTTGTTATGCAAAGTCATTGTTTTAACCTCATGAAGTTTTGATTTATCATTAAAAAAATTGACATATATTATTCATTTTAGTGTATACTATATTTTTTGAATTCCATTTCTTGCATTCTATTTTATATCTCTCCGTAGAGTACTGATTACAACTGGTTATGGTTGAAAATAAACTAAAAGAAGTTGGGGGTCGTTAGTGTATGCCAAAAAGGTTTCTAGTTCATCATAATTGTATATCAACTAGTTTTGTATTTCATTTTGCTCGTCTTGTATTTAAGTTTTCACTTTGTATGTCAAAAAGGTTTCTAGTTCTTTTTAATTTTGTATTCATCCAAACAATATACAAACGAGGTTTGTATTCTATGTATTTGATTATTTTGAAATTCAATTTTAAAATCATACAACTTTGTATTTCTTCTAAATTAATTAGTCATCACAATTATATACCTTGAATTTTATATTTAACACATCATTAAGTTTTACATTCGTTAACAGTACTATTTGTATCAAGTTACAAAATGTATGTCTTTGCTATCGTACTTGTATTCTTTTGATCAAAATTATATCCCTTTCATTACAATTGTATTATATGACCGACAACATATTTGTATCCTTATCAAAATTATTTGTTGTATTTCAATCAAACAATTACAAAAATACAGTATAGTTATTATAGCTTTTTGGATATGAATACCATTTTATGGAGAGAAAAAAAAACAAAAACAACAGTCACAGAAGAAAAAAAACGATCTTCAACTAACTACATCCATTCTTATTTTGTATCAATCAATCTAAAATTAAAACACTCCACCAAAATTAATTTTTCCCACCTTGTTCATAATACATACAATTTACAAGAAAGCTAAATACGTTTTACAATTATCAAAATTTTTCATACCCTTTCTATAATCACTTTGAAAACAGATTAAAGATCCAACAATTAACTAATTATATCCAGTTAAATTTGTATGTCACCGATTATATCAAAGTCCCAATGGCAGATTCCTTCTACAAATCTGGTTGGCAACAAACTTTGGACCTGTTCGTTTCTAAATCTTCTTCCCAAACAGAAAAAAATAATTTAAACGAATTCACTTCATCAGAGATTGAGTATTATCAATGGAAACTTAAAAATCGATATTGATAAATTTCATCAACAAGGGGACGCTGCTTTGTGTGTATTTTTGAATTTGTAACTGATGAGAATTCTAAGTGATATGTTCCTTTTTAAAAATATTCTCTCCCCTAAATTTCTCCTTTCTGTTAATAAATATTTGTATTCTTTCAATTAAAACAAATAATAAAAACATAAATCAGATACATAACAAACTAAAATATTGACATTTTAAATAAATATTGAAAGTGTGGCTAAGGGGTCCTATTAAATACTAAAATATTGACATTTTGAAATTTTTTCCATAAAATTATACTAAATAATATAAATAAAGTGAATTATGGGGTCCACTATTCTTTAAGCTCATCATATCCAAAAATAAAAATAAAAATTCGAACA